TAATAAATTATAGTGAAATTTATAAAGTTGTCTGACTATAACACTCATTTGCTACTAAATAGGAAAAAAGAAAAGAACAAGAGAAGATAAATTTTTTATCTACATTTTCGATTATGAAATAAACTTTTTACAATAATTCTATCTTGTCTGACTAAAATAATTTTTGACTACTAGTAATTACTAAAATTTTAAGTGTTCTCCGTCTGACTAAAACTATCATTGACTACTAATGATAAATTTAATATTAATTTTTTTGTCCTCTGACTAAAACTATTTTTGACCACTGGATTCATTAAGTTTAATTAGTTTTCGTCTGAATGAATTTATCCTTGACTACTTATATTGGGTGTATTTTTAATTGTTTTTTTGTCGCTGATTAAAACTACTCTTGACCACTAATATTTTATTAAATTTAATTTGTTACCGTCTGACAAAAACTTTCTCTGACTACTTATAGTTTTTAAATTTAAATGGCCTTACTAAAACTTTCTTTGACAACTAATATTTACTAAAATTCTAATTGTTGTCCGTCTGACTGAAACCATCATTGACTACTTAGATTTACTGAAAATCTGATTGTTTTCGTCTGACTAAAACTATCCTTCCCTACTTATAATTATAAAAATTTTAAATATTTAAATAAATGTTGTCAATGACTAAATATAAATAAATAAATTTGTTTTTTATTACACAAAGAATTTGAAAAATTAAAATCATTCATGTCTGACTAAAATTATCATTTTCTACTTTTCTTAAAAAAAAAAATTTTTTTTTAATTTAAATTTATTACAGATTTATAATTTAATCTTATTTTAACAAATAAATAAAAAGGGAACAAACACTTTTTTAAAAAATATACGTCTGACTAAAACTACTGTTCACTATACTGATTTGATGAATAAAAAAGAATATATTCACCTTTTTTTGTCTGATTAAAATCACCTTTTACCACTGGAACAAGCGTTTTTTTTTTTAATTACTTAATTCTATCGAATCAGAAGAGTGTATAGGGGAATGACAATTAACAAAATTTTCATTTTTTCAAAGGTATTTTTTTTCACATCGGAATTTTGAAACGAATTCGTCAGCGAATGAATTTATTTGATACAGATTGCGAATGAAATGTGTATGACAATTCTTTTTTTTTTCATGTATACATACATATATCTATTTTCTTTTTAAATGTATATACGTATACACGAGAGTGTATATCAATATCAGTGACAGTGGCCGATCAGATTAAATACAATCGTATGTACAAATGTGATACGCTATTTATATACGTACTTCGTAGTGCCAATTTAAATTATACAACTTACTAAATATTATTATTTTTCTTTATATCAAAATAATATTTTTTTTTTTTATTAAATAATATTATTTTGGTATTAAATAAATTTATTGTGTTCAATAATTTTCTTTTATTAAATAATATTAATATTTTTATTTTGTAACATATAAATATATTATAGTAATAAACAGGTGTGTATTATTGCTAATCATATATACTCATCTAAAATTCATTTCATGTACAGATAAAATTTCACACATGTACACACAATTTTTCTCGTATTATAATTCACATTTTTCTTTTCACACGCATTTTTTATTTTTTTTTTTCTTCCCCTTTTTCTTAAGGCTCAAATCAACTATATAGGATGGAAGTCACCAACGCTTTTTATAAACCTATTTTAAAAAATATTCACAATCGTCTAACGTACACAGTGATATTATTTTCTATCTAAAAATTATGTATATAATATTGCATTCTATACATTCATCATACATGCGATATAATATATTCATGTATATCAATTTTTTTTTCTCTGTCAGAGAAATTTGTAACGAGCAAAAAAATTTTTTTTTTTTTTAATTATATTTTTTATGTACAATGTAAATTTAAACTTTCATAACCCACTGCACAATATTCTATTATTATTTTGAAATAACAAAAGATTGTTTAATAAATTTGATATTTTACAGTTTTGAATAATAAATTATACAATATTTATATATATAGTTGGTAATTTTTTTTATGTATTATATAATTATATTAATTACAGTATAATTCTATAATTCTGTATGTATATAATTATACATAATTCTGTATATAATTGTACACAATAATTATAATTATTATAATTACATACATTGTAAATTAATTTCATTTTTTAAGAAGAAAAAATAATAACAATTAGGTATTTATATTTTTTATACTTTTGAGAAATTTATTTACTCATTTTTAAAGGAAGATAGAAATAATTTTTAAAGAGAAAGGTAAAATAAAACAAATATTGTTTTGTCAGAAAATACTTTCAAGTTTATAAATTATTGAATGTTCAATTAATTATTTATATGAAAAGTAAAAAAGTATTAAGTTTTTGTTAATCTTACTTAAATTCTATATTTTTTGTTGTTTTTCGAAAAGCTTTATTTTATAAAAAACTTTTATATACTCTGATTCTTGGTTCCGGGTAAATTAAATTTTCATGCTGAATTTCCTCTCTCATGAGAGAATAACAGTTGCCTGAAATAAATAATGAAGAAAAAATTTTATACGTGTTTTGTATGAAAAACGTTTTATATACACACACTCTGAATTAATAAATGTGTATTTATTATTTTTAAATAATTGGAATTCGTTTTTTTCTCTTTAGCATTATTGGAAATAAAACGATTCTCTTTTTTTTTGTGTGTGTAAGAGAAATATTCTTTTTATGAAAGAAATGAGAGTGAAATGTAGAACCAATAAAAAAAGTGGTATTTAATACTTTTAGACTTTTAATTAACAAAAAGGAATATTTGATTTAAATGTTCTCTTTAAAATAGAAATAAATATGCAATTTAAATTTTATTTTGCAATTTTAGTTTAAATCATTTTTTTTATAATTTATAGAATTATAATGTTATAAATGTCACTCATCAACATCTTTTTTTTATCGGGAAAAATCGAAAATTGTTTATTATTTCTTGACTAAAATCAGGTAAAAATTATGTTTAATTTATAATTTTATAATTATAAATTAGTTTTTAATTTAGTTTTCTAATTATAAATTATCTTAGGTATAATTAAAATTGTTTAATTTACTAAATTTTTTAGAAATGTTACCTACATAGATCGTTAGTAACAAAATTTATTCGACTAACTATTTATATTCTTGTAGTTTTCATTTCCAATCCTTCTAAATAGAATTTTTTTCAGCGCCATTTATTTTTAATGATTATTCAATAATTATTAATGCTAACTAATTACAAATTATTCGCTTCTTTAAAAGGCCTCTAAGAAGTAAAACAAATTGTTAAATTCATTTAATTTAAAAAATATTTACTTTTTTAGAATTAAAATTAAATTAAATAAATGTAAAAAATAATTCTCTTTAAAATTAAAAATAATCATTTTCTAAAATATAAAGACAATTTTTTTGTAAATTTAACAATAAAAATATTAATTATTTTAATTTGAAATTATTGATTATTTTAAAATTTAAAAGTAAAAACAAGTTTCTTAAAAATTTGAAAATAAAATTAAAGAGTAGAGTTTAGAATCTAAATGAAAGTTTAAAAACGTAATAAAAGAAAAATTATGTTTTAACAATATCATGATGACTTTTTACAATTATTTAAAAATCATGATATCGTTTATTTTTATTACAATTATTTTTATTAGTCAATTCGGAAATCCTGCTAGGGTGAAAACAACAATGAATGATTAATATACATGATTAATATAAAAATTTAATTATTTCATTAATTTTTAATTAAATTGTTAAATTATTTGTTTGTAAACTTTTTTTTTAAATAAAATGATTTATATATGAAAAAAAAATGAATTTTTAAGTGAATATTTATTTTCTTTGTAATTTTATCGAATAAACGTTTTGTAATAAAAAAATCGCCCCTCTCTCTCTCTGGAATAAAAAATTTCGTTTCTACGTTTATAAAAAACTTCTTTTTAAAAAATTGTCTTCTTCTTTTCTAGTTTTCAAATTACTCTTGAGTTTTTTATGCAATTATTTTTTTTCCTAAAAAATGCGATTTTAAAAATTTTTTTTCCTTGAAACAATTTTTTAGAACTTTATTTCGTAGGTACTTTTTTTATTTAAAAACTATTTTGTTGCTAATAAAAATCTCTTTTTCGATAATGATTTCGTTTTTAATGGAAATTTTCTCGTTTAGTAGAAATTTACCCTTTGATAAAAATTTCCGTTGTAATAAAAATTTCCATTTTAATAAAAATTTCACTGTTTACTCAAAATTTCCTTTTTGGTAAAAGTTTTTCTTTTCATAAAAATTTTTCTTTTAGTTAAAATTTCTTTTCTTTAATAAATTACTTTTTTAATGAAATTTACATTTTCAATACAAGAATTTATCTTTGTTTGACAGTTTTTCTTTATTTATTTAATTTAGGGTTTCTGTTTTGAAATATTCTAAAGTGAGAAATAAAAAATGTTATTTCGATTGCTGTTGGCTTAGATTTTTTTTTTTTGGTTGAAAATAATAATTTCGTAATAAATTGAGAAAACCACGTGGTCACTCATTGATGCATTCAACCTATATGGAAAATAGATTATTTTTTTACAAGACATACGTCACTCATTGGAGATTACTCTCACATTAAATATAATTACCTAGGTATTTTCGTCTTCTGAGAAGTTAGAATTTAAGAAAACATGAAAACATCACAGTCATATAAGGGACGCATTCATTTTTTTTTTTAAAATGCGTTCGATGCATATCTACGGTGGACACAGTTCGAGATAAAAATTTTCAAAATTATTTTGCAGTTGCTCTGAAAAAAAAACTTTTCTCCGAAAAAGTAAAAATAATTTTCTTCTATTTTTTTGTCAAAAAAAAACATTTTAACTAAATTTTTTCTATATTTTCCCTAAATAAAGTTTCTTTCTACTAAAAAATATAAAAAAATGACTTGAAAAATTTTTCCTAATTCTATTTTCACAGAATTTTAATTAGTTTTTAAAACTTATTTTTTCTTTTCTATGTTTTCTCTTCCTTTCTTTCATTTTGTCTTCTAAGAAAAAAAACTTTGCTTTTCTTTTTTTGAAGAAAAGAAAATTTTCTTAAAAAGTAGAATTATCAAAGAATCTGTAAAAGTTGCTGTCTATTAAAAAAAATGTTAACAAAAAAAAAAAAATGTAATTGGATGTCACACTAATAAGTTTTCTTTCTCAATAAAGAAATCGTAGAACAAACCTCTTAATTTACTTTTCTCCATTGAGAAAAAAGAGGGATGCTGCAAAGTATTGAATTCGTGAAGATTTTCCATTCGTTCTTCTGTCCCAGAGCAACTGCTTTGGAGGCGATTCTTTGAAACTTGAATCACACGACTTTTATTGGACTATATTTTTTCTTTTCGAAATGTGAACTGAGTGAGTGCATTTTTTCTATTTCTTTTTCTATTATTTTTTTTCTTTTTCTTTATTAATCACTTCAAAATAGCCGAGATGAGATGTTTGGAAAAATAAAATTTATATTTAATAAAAGAAGAGTAATTTTTTCGGCGAATAAATTTTTCTTTTGATAATATTTAAAGAGGAAGAAAATCGTTTTTTTTCGGTGATATTTTGGAAAGGGCACGTGTGATTTTCATTCGCTCTTTTTTTTTATTATTGACAGAACTTTTCGTTGTGATGTTGAGCCAGCATCCAATCGCGTAGATTGCTATTTAAGATGGTGTTTATATTCATCGTTTAAATAAAGTGAACTTTGTAGGCCAACAACAGTAGTAATGCACAACCTGTAACAGAAAAATAATTTATTTACTTTTATTTTTATTACTTATTTCTATTTTTCTGTATTTAAAAATATTTCTTCAGTTTTCTTACTGTAATTCTTATCTATTTATTTTACTTTAATTTTATTTTATCTCTATTTATTTATATTCTATTTTTTTCAATAGTTTCTTATTTCCTTTTTTTCTAATTATAAATTTGAAACAAAGTCTTAATAACTTTAAAGATTAATAAAAAAAAATCGCATGTTTCCATCAGTTTAATTAAAATTCTCCTATTACCATTGTTTAAAACGGTGTATAAGAAGCTTATAATGAAGAAAAGTTTAATTATAATATTGAAGACTGTCTAACTTTATGTATAGTATATAACAAGAGAGTTAAATATAAATTTATGTTCTTATTATAATACGAACAAACATTTATCCGTACAATTGTAATTTAGATCTCAATTAAAAAATGTTTCTCTGGAACTGATTTAAACTGAAATGTCGGAGGAACAAACTTATCCAATGCGCAGCATTTGACGTGAATTAAACTTTACTATTACAAACTTTAAAGTCTTTTCTTGAAAAACACATAAAAGTAATTATTTAAGTTTCACTTCATCTTGAATAAAAAAAAAAAAAAAGAAAGTAATTAAAATAGAATTCAGGAAAAAAATCACAAACTATTTTCTCTGTTAATTATTATTTTTCGAAAATTGGTAAAAGTATTCTTTTTATGAATTATTTATAATTTTAGAAGAATATTGATTCAAGTTCAATTAATTAATGAAAAAATAAATCAGAATTTATAAACTAAAACAAAATAATGGATTTTTAAAAATTATTTGAATTTATTTTTTGGTTAAATATTAAATATTATAGTTCTTTAATAAAGTATTGATATTTTTGGAATGTTTTTAATTTTTAAATTATCATAATCATAATTATCATAAAAAGAAAAAAGAAAAAATAGAAAAGTAAGTAAATAAATAAGAAAATAGAAAAGTACGTTAATTTCTTAATAAATAAAAAAGTAAATAAAAAAAAAATAACTGAAAAGTAGAAAAATAAGTTTATTTCATAAGAAAGGGTTTACTAAAAAATTTCTAATTATTTAAAAGATAAATAATGTAATTAATTTCCACTCTCGCAATGACAGGAAGTATTTAAAAATGCCTTGATGCTTTCGTGACCAAGCCCCTTCCTTAAATATCCGGTTTCTCTCAACCTTTAAGAAACATCTTCTCTCTCACATTTTCTCTCTTTCTCTCTCTCTCTCTCTCTCTCTGAAGAAGCTCGCCTCCCGTATTTTATTACAAGAATAAATAACTCGAAATATATGGCTTTAACACAAGTTCGTTTAAAAGACGTTAATTATGTTTCAAAAGTTGTTCTATTACTTGCGTATACTTTAATTAAGTATTGCCATAGAAGAGAGAGAAAGAGAGAAAATGTAAAATAATACAAATTACAAAGAGTAAATGAGGCGTATTTATATACGTCATTTATTCCAATTTCATTACCATATTGTCGCACAAAACATTTAAAACACAAATGCTTTTCATTATTGTTAAGCATAAAACTGATTGGCCATTCTTATTATTTGACCCCCTCGTCGTTACCACCCCCCCACCCTCACTCTCACCCTTTCTCTTTTGTTGTTTAGTGACAATGAATATATTTTAATTAAATTCCATTGCAACCAGATGTGTTCAACCAATATTGTCCACCGTTCTCTCTTTGCTCCCTCAAAAAGTCTATTAATAGTTCATTAATCCAAACCAATTCATTGTGACGAGAAATATTTTTTCTCCATTTTCTTTTTTTTTCCCTCTTTACAAAATGTTTATTGTTTCATTTTGTTCATCAATAATTCTTTTTTTACATTCATTAATTTTTTTTTGTATTTTTTTTTTTATTGCAATTATTTATATCGCGATAAATGTAATAAAATGTTATAAAACAATAATAACAGGAAAAAAATAACAATTTCAATGATTGAAATTAATTGATAATAAGTCGAAGGCCATGAACAATGTTTGGTTATTAAATGATAATTAAAATACCATAAATAATTAACAGTTGTAATAATAAATAATAATACGAATTCAAAAATAATATAATAATAATAATAATAATAATAATAATAATAATAATAATAATAATAATAATAATTAATTCTATTTTCTACCTTGATTAAATTTTTACTTTACACCCAAGTGATAAATTCTTCTAATTGTTCAACTCTAATAAAAACCGTAATAAAAAATACTAATAAAAAAAGTACTATTAAAAAAATAATATCAATAGATAATTGATAATAAATAGTGTTATTTTTTATGATAGTAGTATACATTTATATACAATTATTCTAATATAATAAAAATAAAATTAAAAAATAGCACTAGGTATAAATATATTAACAAATTTTACGTTAAGAAAAAATAATTTGACAATTAGTAAACATTATTTTAACAAAGGAGAAACTCAAGTGAAATTAGGTGTGAGGGGAAAATTGATTTTCGTTGTCGGAAGTTTACATGGGTTCAAGTTCCATCAACGTTTCCATTTTTTCAAAGAATTACGTGCCAGTGATTACAATGTCCTATCTAGTTGCAAACTACAAGTGAATGTTAAAGCTACTATGTAAACAGCTGCGGTATCAATATGTATATAGAAGCGAGACCCATCATTATATTCTCTTGAATATATAAATATAGTGAATGAAAATTTTTGTACCAAAGAGGATAAAAAGAAAGCTTGTAATGAATTTTAAGTGTAGTGTGTCTTTTATTTTATAACATTTTTTTTAAATATTTGCATTAAAAAAATAATGCAAAAAAAATATTATTACTATTATTAATATTATTATGAATTTTATTATTACCATTATTTATTTATACTATTTTAATAATAACAATAATAATAATAATTTAATAAAATGAAAATATTCTTTTTCAAACAGAAGAATTCATTTTCTATCAATCAGTAGTACAAGTTAGTTCCAGTCAGACAAAATCTTTTTATTTTCATTACGAATTCTTGTCCTATAATTTTTATAATTTTATTTTCAGTAGTTGAAAGTAGTTTTAGTTAATAAGTTGTACTTCAATAGTTAATTGGAATTAAACCAATTTCATGTTATCAGTAGTGTAAATCAACTTCGGGTCAGACGAAGTACGAATTTTTTTTTTGCTACAAAAAAATTTTATTTATAGTTATTTTTTTATAATCTTGGTTCTAGTAGAAATAATAAATTTTAGTCAGTTTATAGTAGAAGTCAATTTCGTTTGCAGTCAGCAGACGAATTACTGTTTAGTTCATACAAATTTTACAGTATTATTTTAACATTTTTATAATCTTTTTTTCTGTTGTACAAATCAATTTGAAGTTATAAGTAGTACAAGTCATTATCGGTCAGGCAAAATGATTCTTATTATTTTTGCCTCAGTTTGTTATTTAATTTTTTACAATTTATTTTCAATACTAGAAAAAAATTTTAGTTAATCAGTAGTGTAAGTGAATTTTAGGTCAGACAAAGCATATTTGTATTATAAAAGAAATTTTAATAATTTTTTACGCTATTATGATGTATAGTAAAATAAAAATAATTGTTTTGTCTCGCCTTAACTCACGTGTACTACTTATAATTCAATAATAATTACTACAAGCAAGAAAAAATGATTAAAAAAGTGAAAATAAAGATAAAAGAATAGAAGTGCATTTTTTATGAAGAGAAAAAAATTCGTGCTTCGTCTGAACTGAAATTTACTTGTACTACTGATTGACTGGCATTCTATTGTACTATACTGATCTCAAAACAAATTATAGAAAAAGAGGAAAAAAAAAGAAACTAAAATTTCTCTTTGAGACGAAAAATAACAAGAATATTGTTTCGTCTGATCGAAACTGACTTGTACTACTTATAATTTCAAATTGATTTCTACAATTGAAAAAAAGATTACAAAAATGTTACAATTATTATGGTAAATTTTTTGTGAGCTGAAAAGTAATTCGTTCTTTGACTGATTCGAAATTAAATTGCACGACTGCTCTATAAATTTGAATTAGTAATTTGAATTTGAATTTAAATTAGTGACTGACTTTTTGCTTTTGAATTAGTACCTAAATTTTACTAATAAATAGTTGTGTCTACTAATTTTATAGTAAAATTTACTAATTCAAAAGCAAAAAGTCAGTCAGTAATTCTAATTAGTAAATTATTTAAAATCAATGATTTAAATAATAAATAACAAAATTCTTCGCAAGAATTCAATTATTTAAAAAAAATTTTAAGCTAATTCTGGGTAAAAATTCAAATAATTTGCTTTAATAATAAAATTTTTCTGCAAGAAATTCAATAATTATAGAATTCTAATTAGTAAACATTTTTACTGATTCAAATTTAGAGAGTATGATTGACTAAAATTGATTTTAATTATGAAAGCAAAATATTTAGAAAAGAAAATAATGAAAAAATATATAAAACATTTTTGAACGATAAACAATTCGTGTTTTTGCCTGGCTCGACATTGACCTGCACTACTGATTAAATAATACAATATGTAGTACTGTTATAATATAATCCATAGTAGTGCAAGTCAATGTCGTGTCAGACAAAGCAAGAATTTTTTATCACCACAAAAAATTGATTTTTTCAAGTAATTTTCTATTATTTTGCTTTTTGTGTATTTTATTTTCACAGTTAAAATCATTTTCAGTCAATCAGCAGGACAAGTAAATTTTGGATCAGTCAGAAGACGAATTACTTTTCGATTAATAAAAAATTTATCATATTTATTTTAATATTTTTGTAATAATTTTTTTCAGTTGTAGAAATCAATTTAAAATTACAAGTAGTACAGGTCAGTTACGGTCAGACAAAACAATTCTCGTCATCTTTCGATAAATAAAAAAAAGTTCAGTTTGTTTTCAATTACTTTCGACAATTTCCTTTTCTCATTAGTAAAAGAGAATTTTAGTCAAGCTGTATTGTAATAATTTTCAAAAAAAAAAAAA